GTCGAAATACGGAACACGACCAGCCTGTTAAACGAGGATTAATATCTTTCCTGATATCTGCATCGAGCGAGCGACTGGGTTTCAAAATGCCGAACTCGTGACCGTGGTCACGACCAGAAAATTACAGCTGCATTCGAGCTAAATTATTCCCTTTTTTCATATTTATGGTATTCGTAAATTTATAGCATTTGAAAATTAAAACGCAACGTTCGCGATATTTTTCTTTTTCTTTCGATGGAGAAGAGGAAGAATCAAGTCGAGGATTTCCGGATGGTTAATTTTGCTCGCCTTGAAGAAGGAAACTTAAGAGGAACTTGGGAGCAACTTGAGATAATACGTGGAAAAAAGGAAAGGGATGGACTCGACGGACGATGTTTTTCTTCGACAGGTAAAGGTGAACGAACGTAAAGCTTCGTCGATCGTTGTACACGAAGATACATCGGTCCTTAATGGGCTGTTTTGGCGCAAGCCGCGAGACGAAATGTTTCCACCCGACGGATTTCCACCAATTAATCTTCGCCAATTGCGGGAACGATCGTTTCGAATACTTACCTGGTACGGATGTTCATCGATACTTGCTGGCTGGCCTCCGACGATGCGACTCTCGTCAGCTGGAAGAATCAATAGTTGAATTTGCGTTTCCACTTGTCTGCTCGTTGAAAAACTACTAATCAAAGCGCGATATCGTTCGATGAATTTCCATAGAATTTAATGACTTCCCTTAAATCGAGAACTATCGAATAATCGTGAGTAAGAGACAATTGCACTCTGTTGAAAGCATCGCGTGCTCGTCTCGGTTTAATAAATCAAAAATTGAGCCAATAATCTAGCTACGGAAAAATAATAGAACAATTTTAATAGATTTATCGTACAAATAAAGGCAATTTAACGTGCAAATAATTTAAGACTATAAACGAACGATACGAAAACACTAATTTAATATATCTGACCGAATAAATAAACAATTAATATTGTACAATAAGATGTTGCCGAATTTACCAATTGAAATCCATACGAATTAATAAATTCTTATTTAACTAGAAATTTAAAAATCCTTCGAATCTTTTTTAAATCAGCGACAAAATGTAGTAAATCGTGGGATGAATGAAAGCAAGGAAAGTATGAATTATAACGATATGCTTTTTCCTTCTTAAGTACTTCAAGCGTTCAAAGTGTTTTTTTATCGAATTACAGGCCAATCGTACGTACGATCTGTGAAAAAATTCTGCGAGAGGCCGAGTAGAACGAGCTGCAATAACAACAGCGGCGTATACATGCTGGGAACCTGGTTCAAGAACTACCTGGTCGCCATAAGGCTCGCCCTTCTTTTATTTCGATATTCGGGTTAATTGTCCTTCGTATCAATTTACCCGAACACGAGAAAAATGTCCGATCCACGAAAGTTTCAGACTGTCGACCTGAATTCCACGTCGATTACGTAAAAGCAGCAAGACTAACGTAAAATTTCAACGCCGTGACCGCACGATAACGTTATTTCTTCTGGAAACAACTGTTTTTCTTTTCTTCAAAAACATTATAACAAGTAAAAAACGTATGTAACATGCAGAGTTTCATTTTAGAATCATTTTAGTGGGTCGATTATTTATGGTACCAAGAGATCAATAATTTCTGCACAAGCGTTTCACGCGTTTCTTTCTGATACCATCGAATTAATAGAATTTTAAAGATGCTTAAAATTGCAGTGTATTTATTCCACTAACGTTATACTATATCTTTGATGCTATAAGAAGCAAGTCGTTCCTATGGAAATTGTCTCTATGTACGTGAAAAACATGAGATAGTTGCTGCTTTGCGTGAAGCAACGAAGCTTAGAGATGGAATCTGAAGAAACAAGACAATTATATACGAATTTATAATTTATAACTTGTTAAAGTATACTAACCATGGAAATCGTTCTATCGAGTGAAAATAATTTGACAGCGTAAAACGTATCGCGTACTGCGTACATTTAAAACGTAATTGCTCGTATGCCTTAGACATCTGACATAAATATGCGCGAAGGACGATCGATTTCCAACGACGAAAGCAACAACAGCAATTCGACTCTCGTTTAAGAATCGTAGTAACCGACCCGTGGGATCAGGAGGAAAATTCGAAATACACGGAACGTATCGAATAGTCATTAGGCAAGTTCGTTGCACACGATGCAGAAACCGACGAACCGACAGGCAACGACAGACTGTTGTTAAAGGATATCGATTGCTCGGGGAACGTAATGCCCGTTGCATTAGTATGCCGAGTCTGACATGATTCTTACGAACGCGCAATCGGCCAGGGTAAATTCTCTGTTAGAATCGGGCTCTCTTTACGAGACGAAGATGCCGATCAACGCCGGCACGTACAATGGCGACGCTTGTTTCCGCCGCCCTTTACGAGCCAGCCATCTGTGCAAAGCTGCAAAATCGTTTATGCAACGGCATACCGACGGAAGGTCTCAAGCACGTCCGAGTCAGTCGTAAAATTAATAATTCTCGATAACGAACGGCCTTCTGCCTCCGACAAGAAAAGGCGAGAACGAGCAGAACCGACTTACATGCAGCATCGCGCTGCATACGTACAGCATGTTTCTTAACTTTCTCATAGGAGAGCTCGAGAAAGAGAGAGAGAGAGCTCAAGAAAGAGAGATAGAGAGATAGAGAGAGAGAGAGAGAGAGAGTTGATGAAACTGTGAACTGTAGCGTTATAAATTTCATATCGTAATTCCCGTTGGATTCATTTTTGATCGATTCGTGCTTTTTGCTAGAGAATTTGTCAAGTTAAAGGAGAATACGAGGGAATCGTTAATGGTACGTGCGATTTATGCTTTCAATTTTACGCTGAGAATTTCGTTTCTTCTTTCCATCGAAACATACAAACTTCGTATAGTCTGCGATCGAATATAAAATAAAAACGGAGCATATATGTATATCCAAAGTTTTGAATGACCGCATAAGTTGTTGAATTGGAGTAATTTCTAGCTTTAAAAGGCTTAGATTAAAAGGTTTGAATAGATGAATTTCACGCGAATAATTTACTCGAGCGTTTCGTATTGTGAATGATAGAATAAGGATTTCGAATACACATTTTTATTCGTTGAAACACGAACATAGCCGTAAAAAAAGTTTGCTCGAATTAAACCTAAAAACGTCTTCGTGTGTCGCAATGTGTTTTTCATGAAATAATGGTTTTTGATTTTAACTCACTGACGTTTTCGTTTTGGAAGTACAAGACGGCTGTTAAAGAGGATTAATGTTACACGATAATAACGGATACTTTGTTGCCATTAAAAGTTGCATTTTGTAAATGTGGAAAAGATAAATCGTACAACGCGCACCGCACGGTTACATGCATAAACATGTAATGGAAGAAATTTGTAAATGTACATATATTCATATATTTAAACGAGTTTATCTCTTCAAAATGTATCGTTGAAATTCAGTAACTGTGTGCATATTTTCATATCAATGTGTACCTATGCTGTTTTAAAACTGAAAACACTTTTTAAGGAGTTCATATTTCCCAAAAGCTTACTAAATATTTATTATTACAACTAGCAAATATCTTTATGAATAAGGAAATATTTACTAATATGTAATAGAAAATTAACATCTCTTTTTGGATTAAGAAACCTTTTTTAGTCGTTAAAGAAAAGCGATCGTTTAAGGATGAAAAAATTAGGTATGAAATTTAGATGTTCAGATTTAAATATAAAAATACTTTATCGATTAAAAATCCGCATTTTGTATACTGTGGTATGTAAAAGAAGATGCATAGTCACATGGAAAAGTTCTCGAACTGTAAATTAACTTGTTTTATTTTTTATTATTAATTCACTTTCCTTCCAGACGTCAGCTTTTCATTCATCAGCTATCATTCACTCCTTTCGAATCTTTTCTTCTCTTTTACGATAAACTACAACTCCTTTTTCTTTGCTTCTCGGTGAATAAAAAGCTGAATAAAAAGAAGGTTTAAAATTTTATCGATCGAAACTCTGCATTATTCTTGTAAAATTAATGGTTACTCATAAGGCTAAAGGTTTTTCATTCAGCTAACAGTAGCACCATTTCGCAAAGGCATCCGTGGCGAATTGATTATCGCGGCGAATGGCCTTTATTATTGCTTCCGGTTCTGCCTCCATTAAGATAATGTCGTAACCGTTCATCGATATGGTTCGACGGCACTTAAAATTGCGTAGTTCTTCCAAGAAAATGAACAGTATCGCGATATCGGCTGCGGTCTGGCCGATCCGATGGAAAGTAAACTGCTTTAATCGTCGTACTTCGTGATGCAAGAAGCATTAATTGCTTCAGGGCATTCGCGAAACACTTCCTCCGATAATTTATTAGCGCTGCAAACGCCTCTGTATCCGTTGCTTAATTGGCATCGTATGGAGAAATAAAACGTTCACTTCCCGAAAGAAAAAGAACGAAAGTGTTCGCTTCATTTTACGTTAATGTAACGAAAATAGTTTTATTCGTGGATACGAAAATCGCGATAATCGCATGGGATTATTGTTCATTCTCGACAACGATCGACTTTTCTATCAGCCGTTAGCGGATTGGCGCGATACCGAAATTAAATTTCCAGTTTCCAATCAAAAGTGCTCGTCTCATTATTCGTAGATGCGAGAATTTCGCGATAGTTACGTCGAGTTATTTTTCGTTTGCAACGACAATCGACCGTGCCCTGGTTAATTCGCTTTTAAGTTGAAAACTTTCGGAAAGTACCCGCTAATTGACGTTCAAATTTCGGTTAACGTGTTTTAAAATCCAACCCGATTTCTACGCCCGCGGAGTTAACGCAAGAATTAAGCTTAAATGGCGGAGAATAGACGAGCGAACGGTTTTCGGATGGTTACGCTTGCCGGTGAAAAGTGCGCCTCGGACAAGATTGCTTGATTGCGCGATAGAACGTTAATTGTTGAAATGGGAAACAATTATGTCGGCGAAGAGTTTGCAGCGACGCTAATTGTTTAAAATTTTCGTTGGGAAAGTTTACGTTGACGAGGAATGTTTCAGATTTGAACCATCGAGTTTTTATTTTATTCAATGTTTCTTCCATAATAGAAATCGATAACATAATTTCTATTATATATACATATATATATTTTTTATTGTTTCTGTTTATAATTAAAAAATCGAATATAAATTTCAATAATATGATTTAACAGCTGTATAATTTATCGAACGCTTAATAATATCAGATACTATAAACTATCCTGTAATAACAACTTAGACAATTTTATACTTTGATAGATTTGTCAGATTTATTTCAAATTTCACGAATATAATCGCAATAGTGGTGTCTCGGTACGTTAATCGGGTCTCAGAATATCTCCTATAAAACATATAGTATATTCGTAAAAGGTGTCCTACTACTTTCGTGAACCACTGTACGTAGGTATGTAGTATCGTGGACGAAAGGCCTAAGAGATATCGGGCGAACCATAAACAATGTCGCGAGAGCCGAGGCACCGTCGGGCCCATCAAAGTGTCGTCGGTCTTTTCAAGTGCATAGTTCGTAGAAAAGACCTACGTGACCCTGGCCACGAGCGTCTGCAGAACACGTG